GGTTATTAGAAGTTAATTCAGCAGAATCACAAGAAAATACTGAAATATTAGAAAATATTGTTCATAGTATAGAAAAACCAAAAAATAGTTCTTTAATTACCATAAATTGCGAAATAGAATTAGTAAAAGAACATAAGATACAAACAATAGCTATGATAGATGCAGGGAGTACAAAAAGTGTCATAAGAGAAGAGTTAGTACCAGAAAAATATAAACAAAAATTAGCAAAACCAGTAAGAATAACACAATTTAATGAGAGACCAGTGTACCTAACACATTGTATAAATAATGAGTTTATTAAAGTAGAAAAACAACAATTTAATATACCATTAACATTTGTTTCACCAATAGGATCATATCCATTTATTTTAGGTTTAAACTTTTTGAAAAGTTTGCAAGGTTTTTTATTTATGAACCCTATCATAACATTTTTCAAAAGAGCCATTACAATAACTGACCAAAGTAATAATGTAGAAGCATACAAAAACATAAGTATAGAAGAGCCTAATGGCCAAGATAGTTATCATTCAGAAAACTCAAAAGAAAATGATGAGCATAATAACGTAGAAGAGTTCAATGAAGACATATTTGAACATGAATACCCGATTTTAGAAGAAGGAACCTTTATAGAAATATTACAGTTAGATAGACCAAAGAGTTTAGAAGAATTATCACAATTAGCATAACAAACTATGATTATAGGAGAAGACCCACAGTTACATTGGGGTAAAAATAAAATACTAGCAAAATTAGATATAATTAACCCAAATTTAACCATTAAGACGGCTGATATGCCTTGTAGTCTAATAGATAAACAAGAGTTTGAGCAGCAAATAAAAGAGTTGTTAAATTTAAAAGTAATTAGACCCTCTAAGTTTAGACAGCATTTGTTGTAAGAAAACATTCAGAACTAAATAGAGGTAATGCTAGAATAGTTTATAATTACAAGAGATTAAATGATAATACATATAAAGATAGTTATAAATTACCAAATCAGGATGAGCTTATAAATAAAATTCAAGAGAGTAAATATTTTAGCAAATTTGATTGTAAATCAGGTTTTTGGCAAATAAGATTAGCAGAATAATCAATTGAGTGGACATCTTTTACTTGTCCAGAAAGACATTTTGAGTGGCTTGTTATGCCATTTGGACTTAAAAATGCTCCATCAATCTTTCAAAGAAAGATGGACCAAATTTTCAAGAAATATGATAATTTTTGTAGTGTTTATGTAGATAATATTTTAGTACATAGTAAAAATAAAAATGAACATAGGAAGCATTTAGAGATAGTATTACAAGAATTTATCAATAATGGAATTGTGATTAGCAAAAATAAAATAGCATTAGAAAAGCAAGATATAGAATTTTTAGGAATGTATATCAAGTCAGGTACAATACAATTACAAGATCATATAGCTAAAAAGGTGTTAGAATTTCCAGACAAATTAGAAGATAAGAATTAGTTACAAGCATTTTTAGGATTGCTAAATTATGCAAGAAATTTTATCCTTGATTTAGGAAGAAAAATAGCAGTATTACATAGTAAAACTAGCAAAACATGACTAAAATATTTTAATAATGAAGATATTAAATTAGTTCAAAAAATAAAAGAAGAAATTAGTAAACTTAAGCCATTAACATTACCATTAGATGATAGTTACAAGATAGTTGAAACAGATACTTCATTATTAGGATGGGCAGGTATACTATACCAGAAAAAGCATAGGGGGTTTCTAAAGTCTAACGAACAAGTTTGTAGATATTCCTCAGGAAAGTTTAGTGATGTACAGTCAAGATTACCATCAACAAATTTAGAAATTTTAGGGATAATTAATTCACTTGAAGCATTTTCTTTATTTTTACATAATGAAGTATTTACGATTAGAACAGATTGTCAAAATATAGTTTCTCATTATAACAAGATACATGCCAATAAACAGGCAGCCCGAAGATGGGTTAATTTTGTTGATTCAATTACATGAAATGGTTTTAAACCAATTTTTGAACACATAAAAAGTAATGACAATACATTAGCTGATATCTTATCGAGATTAATTTGTTGAACATGTATGGAATATCGTGGACCATCATCAGTAAATAGTACAAGGCCGCAAGGCATAAGAGTTTCTTTCAATGGCATGATGATGCACCATCAACCTCCACCATTCAGTGGATTTCAAAATAGCATGAGCAGACCAGCATCACCACCAGTACCTACGTTCAACTTTAATGGCAATATTGTTGAAGGAATCAGAAATCCAACTCTGAGATACAGGTCAAGGGTACCAGGGCTTTCTGATAGGTAGCAGATTCTCTTAGATAATTTTTGGAATATCCAAATTAAGCAGCCAAGTATGAGGTTAGGCCATGAAAAAATAATTAGAGTTTTGGAAAAAGAGTTTGATAGCTTTAATTTTAATTTCCACCAAAACCAGCAGCATATTCATTCTCTTGTGCACAACCTTCAAGTCATCTCTAGGGACCATGAGTCATTACTTGGTAAGTTTACCAAAATGAACCAAGAACTCCAATCTCTTAGAATGCAGCAAAAGGCAAGTGACATCTTGAAAAGAGAATTGAAAATAGGTTTAGAAATTGATCAGCATAAGGATAAAGGAAAAGAGGTTATTGAACCCATAGAACAAGAGACTAATGAGCTCATAGAAGAAATTAAGATTGAGCTCTTAGAAGAAGACGTTGAAATGGAGCAACATCAAAATAATGAGCAACACCAGGTTCTGAGTGACAAAGAAAAACAAGAAAAATATGAAAGTTTTCTTAGGACTATATCTTCAGACTTAATATTAGATGATGCTTTATTAGAAAAAATTTCAAAAACAAAATTAAGAATAATGCCACCAGATATGCAAAATGAGATCATGAGCAAAGCATCACAATCCATGAAGGAGTTACAATTACAATTACAATGTGCTTTGTATGAGTCCATCTTTGATCCAAAACCAGGGATGAATATTATTACAAAGATGTATCCACCACGTCTTTGTGATAGTACAGAAAATTGTATTTGTAAACCAGAGGTTAGCATAGCTGTGGCCAGGATTAACATGAGAGATTTTAAACCATGGCATTTTAGTTATGAGTATCAGAAAAAACATAATGTGGTAGAAATTACCTCTGCCTTACTATTAGAGTTTGGTTATCTTGATAAAATATTCATTAACCGTATTTCCCAACTAGAATCATTTCCTGAAAAACTTATAAAAGTAGCAGAAGATTATCTAGAAAGGTGGAAAGAAATTTTCATAAGCTTTATTAGTAGTCCTCCAGACTGGTATGTACATATGCATAAGGAGAAAGCTAAGTATATAGCCATGATTAATGAAGACTCCTTTAGATGAGTTTGAAGACTTTAGGTATGACATGGTACTAGTAGAAGAAGAAGAGATGTATATTTACAGCAAGACAAGAATCAGTCATCAGCCTTATTGGAAGCCCTAAAATTTCAAAGAAGAAACAGCAGAAATATATTACAAGGTGAAAGAAGATAGAGAAAGAGATGCTGAGCCAGTAGAAGGCGATGAACAGTATTGGAATAATTTGATAGAAGAAGAGCTGTATAACGTTGACAATATGATGGAAGCCTGAAGAGCTAACTGTAAATTAGCATAAGTTTAATAGCATAATGTAAAATGATGTATTCCTAGACATAAATGTCAACATCATTGTGGACCCTGCTGTAATGACATAAGAGTAAATAAAGAAAAGAGCATGATCCATTATGGACTTTTCATACACAAAATATCATTTTGATTAAGAATGAATAGTACCAGGCCCTTTTCGTTAAAACTCCCATAATTGAATGAACTCCTTGAAGTTGATGTTTCTGCATACTAAGTGTTGAGCAAAAATTGTACATAATATGTAAACAAATAATTCACTCGACACAATTTCACCCTCGTTCATTTTTCGAAGAGGGTTTTATTAATTCGAGTTCGACCCATTCTAGGCTACACGCCTATTAATTACAATCTTTCTTTTGGGAAAGAAATACCCTTTGATTCCAATTTGAATAAAAATGTAACTTGAGGAATTTGATGTTTTGTTTGATTTTGTGACTGCACCTAGGTCGAACCCTAGATTGCCTACGTACCCTCTTGAGGGATCAAGTCACTCGTAGTTCATAGATTTGTTGAGATTTGATGCCTTGTGCAGTTTCAACTCGTGCAGGCAAGGAGCATTTGATGCCTTGTGCAGTTTTAGCTTGTGCGGGCGAGGACTTTAAGCCATTGGAGCTATATGTAACTTCGTGATTTTTGAGACTTGTTGCAGCTTTGTGTCATTCGATAATTGATACGGCTTCGTGCCATTTGAGACTTTTTCTTCGGCTTCGTGCCATTTGAGACTTTTCTTCGGCTTCGTGCCATTTTGGTATTTGATAGCAGGAGTGAATTTAGTTTATATAAACCAGGGATTCGTCTTGATTTCACGGTTGCGTCTAAAACTTGATATCAGACTGCCTACGTATCCTTAACGGAATCAAACCGGCGTAGTTCGTTATATTTGTTACTTTGTTTGGATTTGCATACTTGTATTCAGTCTTAGCAAACTGAGTAGAAACCCATATATGAACCTTCGTTTTTTTTTTTTGTCTAATGGGCTTTGTGAAGTAGGGGTTTTATTTTGTCTTTCCCCTACTTAATTGCTTGATAGAGATCTTTTTTTTTCTTTTTTTTTTTAATTCCTAATCTTAGGAATTTCGAATGGGACTTGACCATCAATTGCACTAATTTTGGTATGGCTTCATTCCGTTTATGCTTCTGAATAATTAATAGGTAAATGACCTATTAATTAGTATTGAGTAAAATAATCTTTGGAAGGATTTTTAAGGACCACGTCACATCCACCCTTTTTTTTAATTGGAACTTGATGGCGCCTTGTCCTGTCTTATTGCATTTCTTGTTCTTCTTTTTATTATGGTGTTTTGGACCATTTGACCAAGATATCTTTCCAATCTGACAGCCATTTTCTTTATGTAACTTTTAAAATTTCCAAGTCCAAATAGGACTCGGTTTCAACAAACTCTCTTCCTCTCCACGTGAGGTGCAGATTTCCTTAGTAATCACGCCTCCTCGCAAGATGTCTTCAGCGATTCCTCGTTCTCTTAGCTCTAAAACCTGGTGGTTTTCCTCCAGATGCAGGAAACTATTCCGATATATTTGGGATCCCATGGATTTCGCTATATTTCAAACTTCTATTTGGATTGGGTATCCGTGGATTTCAGAGTAAAAATGGGTAAGGTTTGTTGGAGCTCAAAATTCTTTGTTCAAATTTCTTCAATTTTACCACCGTTTCACTTTAAATTGCAAACCCATTTACAGGTCACAAAAGCTTTCACCTTTTCTGCTGCCTTGTTTTCTTGCTCTTGCCATTTTTGTTCGTTCTTCTCTTTGTGGATCAAAAAGCTCACCACTTTGCAGGTGATTCCTTTAAACAGGTTACCCATTTTATTTTTTTTTCATATTCTGGATCTGTTTATGTATTTGGAGTGAAATAAAGCTCTAACTGTGATGAACTTGTCAATTCTTTCGTGCAGGTGTCCCGGGCAACGGCATCTCTTCGATTGGTTGTTGGACAAACCATTTTGCAGCCCCGAGTTAGTCGAAGACAATTATTGATTCATGGCTCCAAAGGTGAGAGTTTGTACTCTGAAATTTGTAGTCACACACTCATAATATATCTGCCATATTTTGAATGAGTTATGATGTACTTGTGTGTGATTATCACTCTGGTATTTCTGTTTCCACAAAGAGATTTTACTTGACTGGCCTTGACAATGGCATTTGGACACCCTTTTTGTGTTCCCATTCTTGCCATATTTTCTCTTTAACATTTGTACAATATGATGCTTTTTCCCAAAAAAAATCTTTCTGTAGTTTTGATTTGTCTACCAAGTCTTTTTGGTATTTAATACAAAGGTTACCATGTGAATGGGTTTTCCAAATAATTTGGGAAATTTGGCAGTAAGCTTTTCCCTCTCTGTAAATTTGGGATGGCAAGTGTTTAATATAAAGGCTTTGAACCCTTTTTTTTTATCTTCTCGTGGCAAAGAAGGCTTTGAACCCTCTTTTAAATGTTTATGGCAGAGAAGCAGGTGAAAACTTTGACAAATCTTTGTCCCATCTTCACGTGACAAAGAGGGTTGCTTGTCTATTTAAAGATTGGGAAATTTTCCCTTTCTTTCCTTGTCTTGTAGTATTTCAATGTCTCTCTTTTTTTTTTGGTCAAAGCTTTGACACAATGTTTAATCAAAACTTTGACACAATTGTAGTATTTCAAGGCTTTGAACCTTTTCCTTTTTGTCCTAATTTAGAAACTTTGAAATTTTGACCCTTTTAAACATCTTCACGTTTCCTTCCTCCTTTTTTATTTGTCTTTGTCAAGAATTGTGTTGAAAACTTTTCTTCTTGTGGAATTGGACCAAGCATGAGTCGGTCAGGGGGAGCAAAAGTTGTATTTTTCTTCTTTTCCCTTGTTTATTTGTCCATAAATGCATCTGTTTTGGACCGCAAAGGATGAGTTTCTTCTGGCTTTATGCAACACAGCATTTGCCAAACCCATCTATTTCAAGTCGCATAATGTACAGACAGCAGGTATAGGTTACTTAGACTTTGATTGGAACTTCACGGGGTGGTCTAGGCCACCCTGAAGAAATTCATGGGATTCTTGGAAATTATCTCTGCTGCTTGTTGGTGGGGAATTGGTAGATCGTTCAGAGTCTCTACCTCTATCTGTTTGGTGCAGGAAAATACCAGACAAGGAGACAAAGGCCTTATATGCCTTCGCTTGTTTCCCTTTCCTCATTTTTTGTTTCTCTACTGCTTTTCAGTTTTGTGTTTGCTGCTACAATGCTTTTTTTTTATTTGCTGTGGTCTCTGCTCTTATTTTGTTCTTTCTGCAACATAACAAGAGAAAAATAATAATTTAAATAGAACTTGTTTCATACCTGGTGATGAATGTTCTTCTTTAAATCTTGACTTGAAAGCATGAAATGGTTGAATAGCTTGCTCTCTTTCCTGGCAGCACCTTGTTGCTTTTGGTATTTTCTCTAAAAGTTGCTCTTATTTTCGGCAGAGTTTCCCCTCTTTTTTCTGTCTCTTTTTTTGTTGTTGCAGCTGATGCCCATTTATAGGCATCTTAGGAGGGTTCTAGAGCTTGTTACGTGGGGAGAAGATGGAGGGCATGACTTCCTGCCACTCTCTCTTAACCCCTCTTAACTGACCCCACGTTTTTTTGTTGCAAGACAGGAGGAACCTGTTTATTACTTCCCCCTTTTGTAGGAAATTTTTCCTTATTATTTTTTATTTATTTATTTATGGATATTTGGTTTGTATGTAAAGCCCATTCTTATCTTTTGGGCTGGTTTACATCTTTGTTTTGCCTTATAGCCTGACCCAATTTGTATGGACTCTATTTTTTTTTTATGTTGTATATTTTTGTTGTTCAACAGATTGCCCCCTCAAGCCTTATGTGTGAAATTTGTTTTGAGCGTATAAGGCTTAATATGACCATGTCGAATACTGAGCTTCTGACCAACCTTAAATTTCAGGGAATGAATGTAGATGGCCAAATTTGTACCCAGCGAGCTGTTGACAAGGCCGGGAAAGAGTTTGCCACGGGTCTAGGATACAGGCGTTCTTCTCCGTTGGCTTCACTTAACTACAACTTTTCTTTCAGTGATCCTCCCACTTGGTTTCTTCCTTCCAAAGTGAGCTCTGGTCATCTTGATTTTATTCCGGAAGATGGTGCTATCAAGGTTGGCCCGCATCAAGGCGATTTATTTCAGGCTTATACTCTGATGAAAGTGAACAATGAGGCTGATGGAGACACCAAGTTTAAAGTTGATACTAATTTTTTTCCGCTCTTACACAAAATGATCCGAGAGAAGACAGATTGGGGTTTGAGTGTCAAGGTCACAGGTTGTGCTACTTTTCAGGTTGGTGTGCTGGAGTGGACAGAGACTACTTTACGAACTTATGAGAATGTGCTGCGTCAAGCAGATATTTATGGTGCTGTGGCAATGTCCCGTTATCCTTACAAATACTCATCTAATGTATGGAAAGCTTTTTGTGAGCTATGGGGGCCTTTAACCAACACCTTCCACCAGGGAAATGGGGAAATGAGTATTTCATTATATGACTTGAAGGTGATAGGTGGTTTACCAATTCTCGGTGCTCCTTATGAAGAGTTTATTCCTCCAAATGATGACCTGTGCAAGAAAGAAGCTTACCCGTCTACTCTTCCTGAACTTTTGAGAATTCATTCCCATTTGTGCAAATTTTATGCGCAGAAACATATATTTTGGAATCAATGGTTGGACCATTTTTATCGAGGAAAAATAGTTTATGCGGGCTATGGTGAAAAAAATCAGCGGATGTCCCCGAATGAGCAAAAGATCTTTAAAGCCCGAGGAATTTTGCTGGAAGTCACAAAAGAAGGGGCCTTGGCTGCATTTTTGGTATTCTGGCTTTGTAGATTTGTTTTGCCATTAAAGGGCGGTAAAGTGAGACCCGAGACTTTTCCTATGGCTTGTTTAATGGCGCAGGGCTCTAAAGTCTCTCTTGCGCCAACTGTTCTTGGCTATATTTATCGTGGCCTTGGGGATATCGTTTCTTGTCCGAGGGGACCTGGATTCACATATATTTCCATGCCAGTTCACTATATTGTCGGTTGGTTAGGGGAGCATTTTCCATACTTATACCGTTCTCGTCCTGACAGCGATTTTCCTAAGGGTTATCCTCAATTAGCGAGATATGCGGGTGTTGAACCCAGGGAGGTTAATATATCTCAAGCCAGGTTTATTTTTCGGAGTGACAAATATGTTATTTATCGTCCAACCGTTTTTGTGGAAGAGAAAGGTTGTTCTTTGATGGATAATGAAGACCTTATCTGATGATTATTTTGAATTTTTGGTCCGTGTTCGCACTGCAAAGCTTCCTGTCAGAATTGGTGAACACCTTTGGCTAGAACCATATTTTCCTAACAGATTTGCTCGTCAATTTGGCTTTGATCAAGGAGTTCCAACGAACAATTTAGCATTTGGTGTTTCTAGTAGACAAAATTGCAGTGTTGAGGCTATGTTCGAAGCGCAGACGGTGCTTCTTAAAAGGAACACCGGATCTCTTTTTTATGTTCCATGTTCAACACATCAAGGGATCTGTACCTATTGGTATTGCAAGTGGTGGAGGACTTCTTGTGTAACATATCTTGGGATTTCTTTGGCTGATATTTATGCTATCTTCAATAAGCGTCCTCTTAATAAAAAGACAGTTTTTAGTGTGTCAGTTCTGAGAGACATAACTCCCGGTTTGAGAAAAGAGTTTTTGCTTTCTGAGGTGGGATTTGATAAGTCTCCTGGCTTGCAAGCAGTTGGTCAGAGTTCTAGCCTTTCTAAAAATAAGAATACAATGGCTGACCAGGAATGCAAGGTTATCTCGGAGTCTTCTTCACCAGGATCTTCTTTAGGGAGTAGCCATGATGTGAATTTTAAGCGTGCTCGTTATGAGAATCCTGATGGTCCTGGTGGTGTGGATATTGAAACTGTAACTGCTGCAGATAATTTTACTCCAGAAATTATCCCTGGAAACTTAAGTACATCTGTGAAGGTAACGAACCAGCCTTGTAGGGGAAAGTCAGCTGCCTATGTGTCAAATGAAGTTGCACCATCATCCTTGCAAGAAGTGACGGCATCCATCCATGCTTTGTTCGGCTCGGAGGTGAGCAATTTTAGGCAAGGATATATATTGGTGAAGTAGAGAATATTTTTGTCAAGCTTTCCTCTTGCAACTCACCTACAGAAATTCTTGGCTGCCATGAGGAAGTGAATTTGGTGCTTGATGTTTTGGTTCCCATCATTAACATTTTGGAATCTGGTCGAACAGAGCTTGAGTGGTTTGTCAAAACCGTTCGCCATATTTTTGCATGTGCTTCACAAATTTCTGATAATGCCAAGATTATTGATCAAGGTAATCATATTCGCGATTTGCTTCGTCGTCATGATGAGTGTTTGTCAACTAAGAAGGCCTTCGAGTCCGAGTTAAACAAATCCATTCAGGAACTTAAGAAAATTGAAGCTGAGGAACTGCCTGTTAAAGAAGCAGAGGAGATCGCTCGTGTTCTTCGCCAGCAATATGATTCTGGAAAACATGCTGTCAAACGTCGAGTGAGTGATCTTAAAGCTTCTATTGAGCGACAAAAGAAATTGGATGTGGAGCTTCGTCAGTTTCGAGCTGATACGAATGAAGGGCTTCTCTCGGATGTTGAGCGTGTTGAGGCTTTGAACAAATCTGCAGAAGAAGGAATTTTGAATTCAATCGCTTCCCTTCTCCACTTTTGCAGCAAACCGGAGTAGGCTTTAAGTTGTTTTTCCTTCTGTTTTGCATTTCTGCAATTTGGGATATTTAAGTTTAGCTTTTCCTTTCTCTCTTTTTTTAGCAGACTTTCGGACCAATTTTGACTGATAATAATGGGTTTATTGCGCCCAGTATGTTTGAGATTTGTCACATGCTTTGATTGCTCATCCTCCGTGTTCAACTTCTGGATGTTTATCACATTTATATATAGAAGAGGAAACCATATTAAGCTCTCCATATATTTCTGATGAGATAAAGCATTCTTTGTATCTTTTGGTTCGAACTTTCTTTTTGAGTTTTAGGCTATTTTTCTCTTCTTATTAGCAGAGAAACAATCTTGGAAGTTTGGCATGAAGGATAGTTGCCGCTGCTACTGCTTGAGACTTAGTGAAGTTTGGAACAAATGATAACTGCAGCTGCCACTACCTGTGACTTGGAGATGCAACGAAGATTGCTACCCCTCCTGTTTGGTTTCAACCTATTCTAGAGGTTTTGATCCTATTTCTGCCGAGAAAAAGGAGGAATAGAGATTCCCTGGAAGCTTGGTTGATGAAGAAGATAGTTAATCCTCCTAATTTTTTTGAATCGGTGGAACTGGGAATTGGTGAAAAATCCCACCGTTTGCTTTGCTTTGGGGAGTCGGAAAGCAAAGCTTTTTTTTTTTCTTATTCCAGAAGCTGAAACATAATGATAAAGGAACCATAAACATATTTTTTTATGCCTTTGCCATGTACCTTTTTCTGCTAATTTTTCCATCTTTTCGTAACCAAGCATGCATGATAATTATTGCCTTCAATGCATTGGACTCATCCCCTTTTTTATCACTCTACGTAAGTGAAAATCACTTTATGCTTTGTCCTTAAACTTTTGCTTGAGAAAAGTTCAAATGAATTCTTAGCATATGACTATTTGAACAAATGCTTTTGCCATTCTCAATTTAAAATCGTTTTTAGTGGCTTTTGGCCTTGATAATTATTGAAAAATGCTAGCACATGGCAGTTCAAATAATTGCTAATTTCATGGAAAAAATATAATTTTTGATGAATTATGGCTGCATCTAATTTTGGGAATCAGATTGCCTACGTACCCTGTGAAGGGATCAAGCCAAACGTAGTTCATCCCTTGTTTTCGGGAAGATTTTTTTTTACGGCTGTATCTAGTAATAAAGCTAGACTACCTACGTACCCCATGAAGGGATCAAGCCGAACGTAGTTCACCCCTTGTTTTCGGGATTTGATTTTGATTTTGACTTTTTTATGACTTCACCCATTTTTAATGATAGGCTGCCTACGTACCCCTTTTTGAGGGATCAAGTCATACGTAGTTCAGAGGAAAGGATTTTATCTTGACTTGCTTCATCTGTACTTGTTTCCCTCTCGGAGTTCGTTAGGCACTGTTTATGCGTAGAACTTCTTCATGAGCTTTCCGTTGACACATGGGTATATGCATTTCCCATTGGCGTTAGAGAGTTCGTAGGCACCTTTTGTGAAGACTTTTGTAACAACATACGGTCCTTCCCATTTGGCTTCAAATTTTCCTTGCATCTTTCTGGTGATGATGACGGGTCTTCGGACGGTTAAGACTAAATCTCCAACAGAGAACGATCTAAACTTAACCTTTTTGTTGAATGCACCTGCCACTTGAGCTTGATAGATTTCAAGTCTTTGTTGCACTGCAAGTCGTTTTTCATCAAGTGCTTCAAGTTCCGCTAGCCTGATTTTTACATTTTCCTCAGGATTTGTCAGCTGTGTGGCTACTCTTAAGGAAGGTAGTTGAATTTCCAAGGGTAGCACAGCTTCTGATCCATACACCAGACTATATGGAGTACATTGGGTGGATGTACGGACGGTGGTCCTATAGGCCCATAATGCTTCGGGAAGGCGTTCGTGCCAATCTCTTTTGTTCTTTGCCACCATCTTTTTTAGGATGTTGCACAACACTTTGTTGAAAGCCTCTGCTTGACCGTTGGCGGTTGGGTTGTAACTTGCGGAGAAGGCTTGTTGAATGTTGTACTTTTTGCAAAGATTATCCATGGCCCTACACTTGAAGTAGAGGGCGTTGTCTGAGATTATTTTGGACGGGACTCCGTAACGATAGATTATGTTTTTCTTTATGAATTTTGCAACATCTTCCGCTTTCACTTCTTTCAACGGTATTGCCTCAGCCCACTTTGAGAAATAATCCGTGCCTGCTAGGATGTACTGATGTTGGAGAGACGATTTTGGGCTTATCATGCCTATCACATCTAAGCCCCATGCATTGAATGGCCAAGACAAGATGGTCGGATGGAGGGGTAATGGATTTTGGTTTGAAGTCTCTGAATGTATTTGACATGCCTGACATGACTTCACATGTTTCATCGCATCTTGAACCATTGTAGGCCAGTAATACCCAAGTCTTTTCAATTGAGCTGCAAGCTTAGGTCCAGATTGATGGGCTCCGCAAATACCGGCATGAGTTTCAGAGAGAGCATAGGTCGCTTCTTCTTTTGATAAACACCTTAGCAATATTCCGTCAAATGATCTTTTGTATAATGTGTCATTCATATACACAAATCGGTTGGCCCTTCTTCGTACATCAACTCTTCCTCTGGGATCAGTTGGTAGTTTTCCATTTTGAAGATAGTCAATCAAAGATTGCCGCCAATTTGAACATTCATCTACTTCCAAGACTGTAACCGCATTGACTTCATGGTTTTCTTCAATCCGCTCTAGTGTTGAAGGAAGTAAATGTCGTTCTCCCACTGTAATTTTAACTTCTCGTTCCTCAGGGAGAGTTAAAGATGCCGCTAGTTTTGCCAATGCATCGGCTTTGTTATTTTCAGACCTTGGAATGTGAGCAATGTTGATTTCTTGGAATTGTGACACCAAGTGTTTTGCTCTTTTATGATACAAGGTTAGATTTTCATTTTTCACAACATATTGACCATTCATTTGCTTGATGATTAGTTGTGAATCACCATAAGCTTGAAGGCAATCAACACGTAGTTCGAGTGCAATTTCAAGTCCAATGATAAGTGCCTCGTATTCTGCCACATTGTTTGAACATAACTCTATGAGCGAAAATGAATACGGGATTAGGTCTCCACATGGTGTAATGAAAACAATACCTGCCCCCGCGCCTTTTTTCCTTGCCGCTCCGTCAAAGTAAAGTTGCCATTGAGAAACATATGTCGAGAATACTTCTTCATCCGGCAAATCGCTTGGTAACTCCATGTTGTCGGGAATAGGATGAGCTGCTAAGAAATCAGCTAGTGCTTGTCCCTTTATAGCTTTTTGAGAGACATACTTGATTTCAAATTCCGATAGTAGCAAAGACCATTTTGCAAGACGACCGGATGGCACTGGTTTTGACATCAAGTATCTAAGCGGGTCCGCTTTAGATATCAAAGTAATGCTGTGTGACAATAAATAATGTCGTAGTTTTTGTACAGCGAAAACTAAAGCCAAGCAAACCTTCTCAATAGGGGTGTAATTTTGCTCTGCCCCTACAAGCGTTCGACTTAAATAGTAGAGCGCATTTTCTTTTCCTTCTTCATTGTTTTGAGCAAGCATTGCCCCCAGTGAGCGTTCAAGTGCTGCGATATACAAAATTAAAGGTTTCCCTTTGATTGGAGCCATTAATACTGGAGGTTTCAAAAGATATTCTTTAATGCTACTGAGAGCGTTTTGACACGTGTCATCCCACACGAAAGGCACATTCTTTTTCATCAGCCTTGTGAATGGTTGACATCTCCCAGATAAGTTTGAGATGAATCTCCTGATGTACGCCAATCTTCCTTGTAGTCCTCGTAGCTCTCGCAGGTTTCGATGAGGAGGCATTTCCATGATTGCCTTAATTTTTGAAGGGTCGACTTCAATTCCCCGGTACCTTACCACAAAGCCAAGAAATTTTCCAGATGCCATTCCAAATACGCATTTCAAAGGATTCATCTTTAATTGATGTTTTCGGAGTCTGTCAAAGACTTTTTTCAAGTCGTTCAAATGACGTTCCCTTTTTCTTGTTTTAACGACAAGATCGTCCACATAACATTCGATGGTACTATGCAACATGTCACTGAAAATAATTGTCATGGCTCTTTGGTATGTGGCCCCTGCATTTTTTAGTCCAAACGGCATTACAGTGTAGCAGTAGATTCCTTTCGGAGTGCGGAATGCTGTAAGTTCTTCATCTTCAGGTGCCATTTTAATTTGATTGTATCCTGAAAATCCATCCATGAAAGATAGAGCCTCAAAACCAGTTGTGGCGTCTACCAATAATTCAGTTTATTGGAAGTGGGAACTCATCTTTTGGACATGCATCATTAAGGTCTCTGAAATCTATGCAGACACGAATTTGTCCATTTTTCTTCTTTACCGGTACAATACTGGCGAGCCACGTAGGATACCGTACTTCCCTGATAAACCCAACATTTATCAGTTTGTCAATTTCAGCCTTAATTTGTACTTCAAGCTCAGGTCGAAAACGTCGAGGTGCCTGTTTAACATAACGCCTTTCTTTTGATACAGCCAGCTTATGAACTGCCACCTTAGTGTCTAAACCAGGCATATCTTGATAGCCCCATGCAAACACATCTCGGTAATCTTGGAGAAGACTTTTGTAATCTTCTAATTCTTCGAGTGTTAGTAGGGCACTTACAAATACAGGCTTTGGCTCGTCATCTGTTCCGAGATTGATTTCTCGGAGTTCATCCACAGTGGCTTGCCCCCCGTCTTCTATTTGAGCTGGTGCTGGTTGAACGTTGTTAATAAACTCGGTTGAGTTATCACCATTCTCATCTTTTTCATCTTCAATGGTGACACAGTTTACTTGAGCAACATTGTGAACCTCCTCTTCTGTGCTTGATTCCTCATCCATTTCATAAGCTTCACTTAGAAGTGGCGGTGCATTGTTGTGAGTTCTGAAGCTTGCGCAAACACGATTTTGCCCATTTTTCTTTTTGACAAAAAAGCAGGTGGGAAATTGCCTAACAAGCTTAATTGGCTCGTTATCAGACTCCTTGCTTCTTTCTTTGCTACCGATCATGCTAACTTGAACAACATCTTGTTCCTCTTCTGCATCATTATTTTTATCTTGGTTTATCTTCACTTTTTGGCTTTTGACTCTCCACTTTTTGCTTTTATGAGATTTCTTAGGCTGAGAGTTGGCGATTTTACCAAGTCGTTGGAAGACTGAGACTCGAGGTGGCTTGCTATTGGACTCTTCTTCAGTTAACATTGCTTTCTCGAGATTAGT